AATATTGTCAGGCGTTGACCGGTCCGCAGTGATAAAAAGGTTGGGGACCACTGTTCTAGAGGGTGTAGTATGGGCTTCAATATTTAATGTGAGGGAGATGGGAGCGTGATCACTAATTATAATGGAGTGGATTGTGGTGTCTGTTACATGTTGGGTAAAGGAATTACTGATAAAGGGGTCTATTCGAGAAAAAGACTGATGAAGGGAGGAAAAGTGTATTCTCTAGATGTAGGATTACTCATTCTCCAGCTATCACCAAGTCCATAATGCTCCATATATTGTTTTATTATTTCAGTGGAGTGCCAATTTCTTATATTGCTGGAGATGCTTGAACGGCCAATTTCCGGGTTAATAACAGTGTTAAAATCACCAGCAATAATAATATTTGTTGAGTTGCATAAAGATGAGAAAAAATTATGAAAAAAGGATGAATCATCATTATTGGGGCCGTATATGTTCGCAAGTGTATATATTGTCTGGTTAATGGATACCTTAACCTCTAGAGTCCTGAGCTTTGGAAACCCAAGCTGTGCGGTCCTCATATGAGGACGCAGGGACTCTAGAGGTTAATAATTATAAATCTGCCTTCTGGATCAGTGATAGATGTATTATGAATTAATGGGATATTTTTATTAATTAAAATTGAGACGCCTCTTTGCCTACTGTTATATGTTGATGAAAATATTTGGTTAAATTGTTTGCATTTAAGGTTTTGTGATTCTGGATTTGTTAGGTGGGTTTCTTGTAAAAAGCATGTATCAGCATTTAATTTTATCAGATGGTTAATGATTTTAATCCTCTTAACCTGGGTCCTGAATCCACGCACATTCCATGACACTATTTTAAGCGACTGAATGATTGTTTGTTATAGATATCTGTTCGTAAGATAAAAGGAGGGAAGACGTGGGAAGGAGGGAGAAGGGGGGAAAAATAAAATAAATGAACACAAAAAAACAACAAAAATAAAACAAAAAAAAGCTGTTTAACGGGATCTAGGGTTGATGCATGTGTGTTAGTGTGAGCATAGCAGTACAAAAAACAGACAAGTATACATTTCAACATGGTGTGATTAAAACAAACACAAACAGAATAACAGAGAAAGAAGAGATAGTTGTAGCAGTCCGTGTGGGATAGGGGTTGCTCTGTGTGGATGTGGGAGACCAGGGTGATGAAAAGGGGGTGAACTATTTAACATTATAGTGTAGCAGTCACTGGTTGGTAGGTAGTCTATAGAAGATCAGAAAAGCCATGGGGTAATGTTTGAGTCGCGATAGAGCTGTCCTTCAATGTATAATTTGTCCACAATGATATTTGCCCGTTTGTTGTTCTGCCTGTGTTGTTTCATGATGGGGTAGAGGATTTTCCGTCGTCCGTTTATTTCACGTGGGAATTGATCATAAGAGACCAGGGTGATGAAAAGGGGGTGAACTATTTAACATCTTTCAGTTCCTTTCCTTTCCTTTTAATCAGTTCTTTGTGCTTATAGTGTTCCAGTTTCGCTATTATTGGCCGGGATGTTTTGTTGGAACGTGGACCAAGGCGGTGTACACGGTGAAAGGTGATCTTATTAACAGTATCTGGTGGAATTTTGAGTTGGTTTTTCATGAAGTCCTTAACCAGTGTTTCGGGGTTGTCGGGTGATTGTTCTGGAATGACGGTGAATATCAGGTTATCGTGCATGTTTCTGGTTTGAATGTCCAGTATTGTTTCTTTCATCATTTTGTTTTCTTTTGTGACGAAGTCCATTTTTTCGCTGAGGGTTTTGATGGATGCTTGGAGAGAGTTGTTTAAGACGGCTATAACTTTTCAATGTAGTTGTGGGCAAATTCAAGGCTTGACCGGAGTTCTTTTATTTCCTCGTGAAGTGTGACCAGTAATTCGAGTTTCTTATTGATGGATGCTAGAACACTGACCTCAATGTCTGTTGTTTGTAGCTCGCCTGTATCCGTAGAGGAGGTCTTTTTCCGTTTGCTTGGTTTTGGCGTATCCTTATTGGTTTGTATTGGCGGTATCCATACTGCAGTGAATGTAGTACTGGTTGATGAATGCTTCCAGGTCCGATATATCCTCCAGTATGTGAAAGGTCCATTTTGGTTATTGTCGGCAGTTGTAATTCCGATGGATTGCTCGTTTGATACTAGTATTGGGTTATAAAGTCTGAAAAAAAAGGCTAGCTTTAGGCTCAGTGACGTGTCGCCATATTGAATTCCCCTGCGTAGTCTCACGATCTTGCAATACTCAGAACATCACGCCCCTACAAAGAAAGTGCTCCTGACTTCCCGAATGTAGCACATTCTGTGCACACAGATTGTTATGAACATCTGTTGTCTGTTCATCTGTTACATTAAATGTTTTGTTTTGTTTTTTTAACCCCAAGTACTGCCAGATGGACAAAGATGTACTTTTAGCTGTAGCACAATGTTAGCCCCCAGGCATATGGCAAACATTTGAATATTTGTCGATTATTATCATTGAATATGCAGAGCCCAAAAATTGCCGTTTGGAACGACCTGAGGAGCCACATGAACTCTGGCCAGAAACTGCTTCAGCTCTACAAACTGATTTATTTCCCCGTGGGAGAATACATTTCCTTTACTAGTTAACTGTTCATGATCTTTGAATTTTACGGCATTAGACAGAGGACTTATTAAGTACATCATTGTTATGCCAGTGATAAACATACATGATGATGTTATTCTCTGGGTGTTGCTACTCTTGCCTTTGAGGGCTTCTGTAGTTGAGTTGTTGAGTGTTTTTTCTTCAGGTTTGCCTATATTGAGTTTGCAGACAAAGAGTCTGTAAGGACGGCTATGGCTTTGGATGAGTCCCTTTTCAGAGGAAGGCAGATAAAGGTAAGATTTTCACATCAGTTTTATTTATTTTAAACATTTTTACTAGTCTATACCTACCCAAATCACATCTTACTAAGTGACACCATTATAAGAACAGCAATGTGACTGTGTTCCAGTTTCTCATAATAAGAATCATAAACGCAAAGGCTCTATTTAGACCTGGTTTTAAAATCCACCTTGGGTGATCAAATTGCAATTGGACAGTGCTAAATACAAGTGTAAATGACCACCGAGGTGGATTGTGATCCAGTGACTGAAACAATTTGCTGAACTGGTCTGGGACGCATTTGACCACATATCGTTGGTAGTGTAACCGCTAATGCATCCTAATGTGTCACCAACAAGGACATTAGTGGAAAATGCATGATCAATGCAGGACATGGCAGTTGTTTTGGAGAGAGTTTAACACTCAAAAAAAAAAAAAAAAAAAATTGTCTGATACTATGCATTATAAAAGCGTTCATAATACATCATGCACAAATCTGATGCTTGTCTTCTTAGGTTAGGGAGACTACTGGTGCTTGTCTGGTAATAGACTGATGTAATAATTGTCCCTATGGTTTTTTTAATATTTAAATGAAAGTGTTTGCTTCATTGTGAATTGTTTCAGAATACTTCGTGCATAAAAAAAAAAAGCCGATTTATTTCATTTCACAAATTGTTGGCATTTTTTTCAACTTGAAAACATAAGGTTACACTTGTAACCGTCCCCTGCTGGATCTTTGCCCCACAGGTGGGCGCTAAGAGAACAAACAGACCAGGTATCAGCACCACAGACCGTGGCTTTCCACGGGCTCGCTTCCGATCACGTGGAGGAAGCTTCTCATCCCGTGCACGCTACTACAGTGGCTACACACCACCCAGAGGCAGAGGACGGGCCTTCAGGTGAGCTGACGCTGAGATACCTCATCTCTCACACCTGGAACAACACTGCATGTTTGCCCTGAAAAGAGTCTGAGGACTAACAAGACAAACCATACTGACCAGTCAGGGTTGGAACCTGCTAGAGAAATGAGTTTTATTTTTTGGGATGGAGCTAGGAAAAAGGTTTGGACAGTTGATCAACTGTCACACAGCAAATTACAGTAGAACATAGTGAATGTTAATATTGTCCTGTCAGAAGACGAGGGGGATCGCGATCGACATTTCATATATTTAACAGGGATGCAGAAGGAATTGGGGCTAGGGATAGTTTTCATACATCAGGAACTCGACAGCTTATCAGGAAATAAATTATTCTTGGATAACATCAGGGAGTTTTCCCAGAGAGAATAATTTTATTAGTGTTGAATAAAAACAGGTACATAAACATGCCATGCGGCCAGGTTAGAAATCCCATCACACACAGTTGTGGGACTGAAGGACTTGGTTCATGCCACATCATATACCGTACTTTCCGGACTATAAGCCGTTACTTTTGTCGCTTCATGCACATGGAAAACATACAACGAAATGCATATGATGCAGCTTTCAAGCTACAGGCGATTGATCTGGCTGTCGAATTATCACGTTACAACGTGGACACCTGCCACTATGTACAAAATGTTTTGTTCATCTTAAATTTAGTGGGTGCGGCTTATAGTCCGGAAATTACGGTAACCGTTTCACTGGAAGCCAGTATGCTCAGTGCACATCAGTCTATTGGTCCGAGGTCTTTACATGCACTCTGCATGTTTAATCTGTGGTAAGGAACATCAGTGTGATCAGAACCTACTACAGCAGGGAAACATGACGCTGGTGGTGTTCTTGCATTAGACCTGGGGGATATTTCAGAAAGCAGGTTAATTGAAAACATGGAGTTGGTTCACTCGGATTTGAGGGGAACTCTGGAATTTCAGTTCCAGCAACAGAAATGTCTTTAATGGTAACTGACTCCAAGGATATAACCTGCTGGCTGGCAGGTTCTCTTCAACAGAGCCAGCCTTTCTCTCTCTGTCTCCTCCCTCCTGCAGAGTCTGCAGATGCTGTTTCACTTCCTCAATGATACAATCATATTAAAACATGTTGGCGCATATTCATTTTCATTGGGTTTACATCAGGAGAAAAGGATACAAATTCCAGTTGGACAGTAGCTTAAATAGTTTGATCATATTAGTAAAGACAGCTCTTGGGTTACAGTCAGTCATCAGTGTAAAGACAACATTCCCTCCTCGCGTTTAAATAGCAGTACCCAGCCTAGATTTGACCTAGACTCAGAATAAAAGCTACACACTGCCTGTCTTTGAACACTGTGATTCTGTGATTATTAATCACTGAACCATCTATGTTACTGGATTCACAGTAAATATACAAATCAGTGTTGAGCTCTGTCCACTGAGATGTTGATCTATCAGTAATCACTTATTGTGTTATTGATGTAATTGGAAGATTAGTGTTGTTTTTTGGGGGGGCGAGATTATGTGAATATTTGAGTGAGAATGATTATAGTGAAGTTTATAAGACTCAAAGATTTAAAAACGGGACCAAATGCACTTTAAAGATTTTTGAACCTGCATATAATCTTGTTTTAACAGCATTTCAGTAACTGGATAAACTAAGTTTAAACATGTCTAGTACATGAAAGTAAGCATTTTAAATGTATAATACCCATCTAAAAATGTACATTGTTATTTTAACCTTGATGCTTTTCCAACTTGCATCACCACAATCATTGTTACTGGGTCAGACTGTGAAATTACTGGAGGCTACAGTCAGAGGTCTCCAATTAAACCAGCATTTAAATATTTTTAATAAATGTAACAAACAGTATGATTTACCGTTCATTAAAGAAATCCAAGTCTGCCGAACAAATGCACAAGTGGACAATACGATGAATAAAATGAAACGGCGTTTTGACTCCGTTTGCCAACTTGGGCTCTTTCATAGCTGCCGCTGTGTATTGTGAAGGTAAATGTTCATTACATAGACGGTTCATTATCACACTAATATTTCTGGGTCTACAGGATTGAATGGTGGTTCTAGTCTTTATCTATTGTCACGGTGTATCATATTGATGATGGTGTTATATAATCATTAGGTTCAAGCCCAACTCTTAAGTGAATCACCTCAGAGTTGATAAAACTATCTCTGTTCAGCTGTTCTGAAACCAAAAACTCAGAGTTCCCCTTTCAGGGTTAGTCAAATTACAGTTCACAGTTTGTTGACCCTGCTCTCTGGAATATTCCACCCCCATGTTGAACAGGAAAAAGGGTTGGTGTTGATCAGCTGTGAATGTACAGTATTTGTGAAAAAAAGACAGGATGGGCTTCAGAGCTCTGCTATGGGGCCCTATGCATCTTTCTGGTTTAGGTTATAATGCACACATGGTTTTGGGCACTGGAAACTTGAAATGTTTATGGCATGTGATTCGGTCACTTTGCAGGTATCTGGAGCTGCACACTTATTATAAATGAGATCATGCAAAAATAATGTGAGGCTGTTTTGGCTGTAATAAACAATATGTTATTGTAACTTTTATTGTGAACTGTGTAACCCTTGGGGGCAGTGAGAAATCAAGGCTACCAGTAATCCCGCTCTATATGTGCCCTATGGTGAAGTTCTGTTTATGGGTCCACCTTGTTTTTTCTTTTGAGACTGAGGTAGGTGTGGTGACAAGCAAGCAGCTCTCTCACATGCACCTAGAGTTGAGTCAGAGCTTCTGATTAGATGGTTATCTGGATCCTAGTTTAATATTTAATGTCCAACAAAGAACATTTTCCAGGAGAAAATGCTGCTGCTGTTACTTTGGCCTGAAACTCTTCATGCAGTGGTCTTTATTTCAGTGATAGTTGACAGAGTTGTTCTGATAAACCTGAGTCCATTTCATCTTTGTGTTTTTACAAAGAATTTCCATGTCGGTGAGGCTGTCTTTAAGTAACAAGTGAAGGTTTCCATCCCTGTTTGTTGCTCTGTGTGATAAGTATTTGAAGCTCAAGGTTGTTTAATGACTGCATGTACTCCCGCACATACAAGAAATCCTAACCCTGCCAGTTTGTTCACTGGGATTTGGCCAAAGCTGCAGGACAAGGCAGAGAAACTTGGGGAGAAGTTGAGAGGGATTTGACAGTGAAGCTGAAAGTTCTGAAACCAAAAGACTTGGTACACTGTATTTGCTATTTGCATTTGACGGATTGGGATTGCTGAACTTTCAAGTTCTGTCTGGCTGATTTGCTGTGTTGTGACAATAATAAAAATAAGACTGGATATCTCGTCGATCAGAAGAGCAAAATTAGTACAGTCACCTAAAAACACACAAACTAAAAGTTTAAATGTTTGATTATGTTAAAGTTGTATCATTCAGATTGAACCAGGCAGCTCCAACATCATGATATCATTTCTGTTGTTGCCGCCAATAGTCATTTGACCAGAATGATTGTACTCATCAAAACAGAAGCCACCTTTCCAGGATATCTCTGATAACTACATAGTGTGTCTTTCCACTATCTAACAGTATTAGTTAATATGTATTGGAGCTAGCATGCAGAGAAGCAGTCATTCACTTGACTGGCCTTGATGAGTGTTTACTGAGAAGTGCTGACTGGTTGCTACATGAGGAATTCATTCCTACTCTGCAGTCAGTCAGGCTACAGTCCAAACCTAGACACACTCTCACTGGTGCCTTGTCATTATGTGGGCATACACCTGCAGTGAGCAACAACGCGCACAGCCTGTTCTAGGGGTGGGTGATATGGACCAAAAAATCATATCTGTATTTTTAGGCTGAATGGCGATACATGATATGCATTTTCATGTAAATCAGGTTGAGCCCTAGAAATATTCTCTGCAGCATTTGCTTCAATAAAAATAAAAACAGCGGTTTTGGCAGCATATAAACTATAAATCTCATGCAGAGACAAAGGTTTGAGAAAACCAATATGAGTAAAAAAAAAAAAAAAAAAAAAGGGCAGCCAAAACGTGGTCCACTGTGAGTCGATGCACTTGACAACTTGTTGAAGAGAGAGCCAATGAGTCTGATGGTATCAGAATTTTCAGAGGCTCAACATGGGAGAATTCTTCAAATCTCTTAATCTGTGCCATAACAATGTATATCCCTTGCCAAATCTTCAGTTTTGGGGCAGCTGTTTGGATGCCTCACTTTTGCACAGATGCAGTGAATGGCAGATGCATCGTTGCACTGTGTGGACCAGGAAAGTCATTTTTCAGATGCCTGGGAATTGAAACAAAGCCCACTATTATCCAGATCCACACTTGCAGTTGTGAAAGATTCCATCGTCTCTGTGTAAAGCTGTACAGCATGGCACCTTCAATCAGCCGTCTGCCGCTGTTCATCAAACAATCTGGGCAAATTTCCAACGATGTTTGCACTGACTTTGAATGGTCATCAAAAAAAGGAACAACAATGCAAAGATTCTTAACTGTGTGTATATTTGTAGATTTATCAACAAGTATACTGAGTTTTTTTCTGTTGCAGAATTTCTGACAAGTCTTCAGAGTAGCAGTCCCCAGGGACATGCTTTGTGATGTTTGTTGCCTTGGTGCAGCCTAAATTCACAGCCTGGGCAGTTTGAGTCATTGAAAATTTATTTAATCACATCTACTAAGTGGTCAGTAGCTCTCATTGCAACGTTATGTTCAGCTAAAATCCAGCTAGCTTAATCTCAGCTGTTTTCACTGCATGTCAAACCTCTGCTTTTCATTAGTTTGCTGTAATTCAATTCAAGTTTATTTTTATAGCGCAAATCACAACAAAAGTAATCTCAGGACACTTGACAAAAAGTGTAGGCACTGAAAAAAATGTTTGATTTGCGGCAAGAGATTTGACCTTTTCTTTGTGTTTTGGCTCCCTTGGCATGGTTCTTGAGGACACAAATTTTGGAAACCATATGGATATTACAACAGTGACAAAAAGCCTTAGTCCTGTTCCCCATAACATGTGTCCGCCATCCCTTGAAAATAGGGTCTGGTTCCCATGAACTGCCGTAAAGTTGTGCCTGATGTTGCATAGGTTTTGGTTCATCTGTGTCTTCTTTGTGTTTTCTTTTAACCTTGCTTTCTTTTGTGTAATAACTTATCAAACTGCAAACTAGCTTAGCTAACATGATCAATAGCTGAAAAGCGACGGTTGCACCATTAGCGAGGAGGTGACAGCGGCAGTTTCACGAGATCTCATTAAAGATGTGGACTGGCTCATTTACTACAGATCCAAGATCCATTTTCTGTGATGTATATATAAAATGAATAACCAGACTGGTTCCAAATCGGCCCCATGCTGTTAAACTATGGCATGAAACTATCGTAGATTTAGGGAATTTTTACAATTATTGATTGTACCTCTATATAGAAACATCTGGCAACACTGCCTGTGGTGTACAGAGAGAACAGTATGAGAGGAAGAAAAAACAGTTGGCACACCTGCTCTTCCTGGAGTGAATGGAAGCAAAGTGTTGCCTGCTGTCCCACATCGACGTGACTTAGGATATACAGCTCTTCTTACAACTGTCATTCAAGTACAGATACTTATAAAACAGGGTATAGTACAGTTTTTAAACGGCCGGCTATTGCAGTACCCTTCTATCATCAGTACACCGTACAACACTAGTAAGTCAGAGGCACATGAGATGTCACAAGCATGTCAAAATAATTAGCAAGGATAGCGTTTCCTTCCCTATTTGAAAATATGGAGCTTTAAATTGTGTAAAAGTGTATATAATCAAATTTACATGAGGTAGATGCACATCAGATGTGAGACAGTAAAGTCTGCCTGTTTGTAATACAGGATTGAAAAATGTTATCTTTTTCATTTTCTTATTTATTTAAAGAGGCAGGTTACCTACAGGGGTATGTGATTAAACGACATGTTTGTGTGTTGCTTCACCTACCAGTTGACTCCCACGTAGCCCTAATATGATCATTAGGCATACTACTGCAGACAGTTGTTTTAATTAGCATGATTGGGGAAAAATAGATGCCAGGCCACTCAGTACAGTGCACTCACCAGTGGCTAGGTGAAGTTGATGCATCCTGAGCCACTTCTTCAGTTTCACCACTTTAACAGTGTTGCTGCCATTTTTGGTTGTCAAACTCCTATATGGCTCATTTATCCTGCTTGCCACACATCATTTGTCAGTGCGAAAGAAGCCTCTTTTGTGAGCCGATCGTAAGGCTCTCTGACCTCAATGCACATGTCTGGCAATGCCGTTTCTCTTGCAGAATAGTTGGAACTGGTATTTTGGATTTGTGGTTTTTAGAAGCTTTTTAAAGCCTCCTTGTTCCACTGTTGCAGCAGGGATCATATCTTTAAGGATGTGTGGTTGGCCACCGCTTTAGTCATATCACATCACTTCTTTTCATAAGGCACACCATGGGTAAATGAAGCTTGCAGTGTGATTTCTTTCAGGGAAGACAGCTTTTCAGGCGGGAAAGACCTCACAGCCGAGGTTGCGGCAGCTGTACAGTGTTGAACACTCTTTGTACCACAGTTTATGGCACTGTTGTAAATGGTGGAAGAGATTTTTTTTTTTACAAAGCAGGGCTGCTTCAGTAGCACAGACTGGCATTGTATCTCCTATGTTGCAAGTGAAATTGTGAGCAAGAGTGGAGCAGGGTTTTCACTGTGGTTTTCAGAAAGACACGGAGAGGAGAGATGCAAGCACCAAACGGGTTGTGTAACACAACATTAGTATCGGTATAAAAGGTACTGTCTCATACTACAGCTCGCTTGAAATTCTATTGATATACCTTACAAAGTCGACATTCCGCCTAGCCCTAGCCTGTTCCAAGTCTTTGCATTGATTGTGAGCTCAGGGGGCGTTCAGTGCTTGGCTCTGATTAAGTGATGCATTTCATTATCACTGTGTTGATTGGCATTGTTTAAAGAAGGGCTGACTTAACTGTGCTTTGTGTGCAGAATCACATCTGCCAGTTTCATAGATAACTCCAACAAATGGTGGCATTTGTCTTACACCCTGACAGAAGAAACTCCATGTTTACAATTAGGTCTCTGGCTGCCAGAAATATTTCTCTGCTTGTGTAGAGCGTGTCCTTGCATGAACCACCAACCATACACCCCACCGTTCACCCCAACACACATGTACTCCCACTCAGATCCACCTGTACAGTGTTCACTCCCAGAAATGAGGGTTCATTACTGCAGCCTGAGCTGAGCATTGAGCCTATCAACCACCGAGTTCAGTCCCAGTGTGACCTGTTTGTGTTCCACCACTGAACGGTTCGTGTATGAGACGGACGAAGATACCTGCCTTCGGTGTGTGTGTGTGTGTGTGTGTGTGTGTGTGTGTGTGTGTACACCATACCCTGCTGGGGCTGTGTGTGGCGCTGTCTGTCCTCAGTCTTCCCCCACAGTGACCCCCGAGGCGGCTCTCGAACAGAGAGAGAGAGAAAGAGGGAGAGAGAGTGCCTTTGCTACCCCCTCACACTAATTTAGTTCTCCTATTATCTGGAAAATAAAACACTTTTCATCTCTTCACAAAGCTGCTCTCAGCTTCTTTTCAGCCTTATTACTCCAGATTGATCTGTTCTACGACCAAAGGCACAGTACCTTTAAAGATGGTGCGTCTATCTAGATATTTGTGAACACTGTCCTAAACACTGTTGTTAATTTTTATATCGATATATTCTGTCCCCTTCACTTTACGTATAGGACTGAAATTTCAGCAGAGCCTGTCTCTGCCCACAGTCACACACATACACATACCTATTTTATTCTATCACACCAGAAAATTGGTGTCCATCTTCCAAACAGAAAAAAACTCACCCTCTTTTTCTCTCTCTTTTCCAGGGGCCGAGGGCGATCAACATCGTGGTATTCCCCTTACTAAACACCCTCCTCCCTCCAACACTCCATTATTATCAACCCTCTGTTCCCATTTAGAAAACAGTCAATGAAAAGCCCCACCCTGTACCCCAACAATAAAGGAAGAGAACCCCAGAAGAGAGAAAAAAGACAAAAAAGGAGAAAAGCCTCTCGTGGACAGAGACTGACTGCTGCAGTGTGCGATTGTGTGTGAGCGTGAGTGTGCCCAGATTGATGCAGTCAGTCCTGGTAAGGTATCAGTTGGCCACTGGGGAAGAAACAGTGGCACATGTTTCTATTGGGTTTTGTTTGGGGTGGTATCTCAGGCTGCAGATGTCTCCTTTGGTCTGGCTGTGACCTCCACCTTTCACACCATCACCAACACAACCCACCCCACTCACCTGTCACCACCAACAAAAGGGGGCGGGGGGGACAGCATGAAAAGATAGTGTTGTCTTAAGTTTAATGTGCTACTCATATGTGAAACTATCACTATCCAGAATGGTGTTTTAAGTTTGTGGAGTGTGTCATTACCTTCCAACATCCACCCCTCCTGTACCTGCAGTTCTCTACACCCCTACCCACCCTTACTGTTTTTGTTAGATGCCCCCATTGACAGTTTGTGATACCCCCACCCCACCTCCTTCCTTCCATGTCTCCTGTCTCTCATCCTCCTTCCCCTCTCCTTTTCCTCTCTCTGTATATTAGACCACTTCTTGTCGTTTCAGGTTTCAGGACCAGTGGAGGCTGACGACCCCTACCCAGGTGGCGCCGGCCCCCCCCACTGTCTCCGCAGCGTCTCTCTCGCTCTCTGCTCCTGCTATGCACACTCCCCCCATCCTGTCCGTGTGGGGGGGAGGGGGAGGGGGGCAGGGTGACCACAGGCCCGCGGCGGGGGGCATTTACTACAACAGCAAACGCTGATGATGCTTTGTGCTCTTCTCACTCTTACACACACACACACACACACACACACACACACACCTATTGAATGCACAACACACTGCAGTACAGATGGCACGTAAGCGGCAGCCAACCCAACACAATTTCTACTCAAAGAGCCGGAACCAACACAGCTGAGTGCAGAGAGAGAGAGTGAGGCGGGCAGGACCAGAGGCCAGGGTGTTTGGTAGAGGGTGTACAGTGCAGTCTGGATGGTGCCCCCGTTTCAGTGCAGACCGGGCTTGTGTGAGGCTAACGAGCCAGTGGCATCATTTAATTTAATAAACGGAGTGCGCTGGAGCTGTTGCGTTGGGGCAGGGAAAGTTGAGGGTGGGGTTTGTTTTTCTTTTAGGGGAAATGGGTTTGAACAAATGTTTTGCTTTTTTATTTTTATTTTTACCCCACAAGTCTGTAATTAGGAAAAAAAATAAAGACATTGTGTAAAAATAACTTTGTGTGTGACTTTGTCCTGAAGAATTCTGCATGGTGGTGTAAAATCACTTATAGCCGCACTCCTTTGGTCTGCTTCCATCTACAAGTATTTAAGTGTCAAACTGGTCCCTAGCAAGTAATATCACAGGGTTTAGTGAATCATTTAGTATTGGCAGGTCTGCATGTAGCCCAAACCAGAATCAATGGGTTCTTTGTAAATGCAATATTTGGAAATGACTGACTTAGTGTCTCAAGCTTCATAGCAGCATTTACAGTAAGAGTTAAAAAATTTTTTTTTAAATGTAACTGTTTTTGGCTGAATGATGGTCTATTACCTAATCTGTCTGTGCTTTGATGAAGGAAAATAAAACGTCAAACGTACTGATTATAAATGTTTATTCAAATGAGAAAGTCGATGTGTAAGTGGTGGCTCTTGGTAAAAAAAAAAAAATCCTCTGGCCTCCATTGCACGTCACAGTTCAGGTGTATCTGTGCTTCCTGAAAGCTGCAAAAAGAAGTCTGTTATGTCTAGGAAATGATGAAAATGCAAATAAAAGCTTAATATTTGACAATTAGGTTACTGGCACATACTGAAGACAGTCATGGCCAGTGATGGTTTTCTCAAGTAAAGGTAGGAAAAACTCAGCTTTAAGTAAAAATATACTTAAACATGTAAAAGTACTCATTCAGAATGGCACATTTCACACAAAGTATATTTACTGATTCATTATTTTGTTCAGCCCTTTTAATGTTGCAGCTGGTAAAGGTGGAGCTAATGATAAAATCAACAGCCTAATGATTATGCTGTATTCTTTTGACCTCAAAAGTAACATTTTCAGATAAGTGTAGTGCAGTAAAAGTATATTAGCTTCTAAAATGCAGTGAATTATGAAGCAGCAGAAAAAGAAATACTTCAAAATAATCCTTAGACTGAATAGATGTAACTTAGTTATTTTCCACCTCTGGTTATGACACAGCAAAGAGTAAAGTGCTGCTAAATGTAGACTGACTGCACAGCCAATGCTGGAGTAGTAGCACTAACAGATTCAAGACAAAGAAATAATCTGAATGAATCTGGACTGTCTAGTATACTTGATGTCCTCACCTCTCCTCTTGGTTTTCTTTTTCATGAGTTTCTTCTTTTTCTTGGGGCTAGTGTTCTCTCCATCCTGCACCAACGAAACAGTGTCAGACACAGCAGCCACATAATGTGGTCTACATGGACATTCCAGGTCTCAATAAATGCAATAAAGTATTAACTTTCCACACCATGGAGCAGATCACAAGCAAAGACTCACTGTCTCATTAGGTTTTTTTTAACATCACACAATGAACTGAGACAAAAAGCAGTCCAGAGCGGGATCAACAGGATAAGTGGTATATATAATAGATGGATGACATTCATGTGCCAAACAAACTCAAGGTGAGCTGCTTGATGGCAACCTGGAAATTTACAATCCACCAGAGCCAATCTCTTAAATCTTTGCCTAATCTCCAAACTAACCGGGCCTGAGCCGTGTCTGATGTTCCTGTAAAGGCTCACCTGGCCGCCCACGCCACCTGTCAGTGCCGTGATGTCACTGAAATGTGTGATGCTGCTCAGCTGGCTGGACATGGCCGGCACACCTCTCTTCCTTGCATTTCTCTGACTCTTCGGCATGCTGAGACGCACCATCATTGACTCCTCATAATTTTTCCTGTGAAGAAGTAGAGACAGTCAAAACCTCTATCTTGAAGCTGGTACTTTATATTTTTGCTATGTGCATGCCAAATATGTTGTGATATGTGATAGCTATGAAACAACTTGACTGGTTTCTTCTGTGTCTAAAAGGACTGTTAAAGAAATGAAATCTGTAAAAGCTACCCCATACAGCACTTAACAGAGTATATCCTGTATGTCACCTCATCAGCAATAAGCCTATATGTGTCTACTGCTGGTACGTGGAATCATCTAGTCATGAACGACGCTAAACTAGAGAATAAAACCTTTTTGCAGAAATTTTAGGTGCACAAGCTCTGACCCCTGCCACCACCTCCTCTCGCACTACCCAGCTGTGCGCCATCGTCACTGAGCTGGTGGTCAGACTTGATGAGTATAACAGTACATGGTTTTTCCACACAAGATGAAGTAAGACCCAGTGACGGCATGTTTGTTGAAACATGTAGAGGATGATGTGAGATTTGGCTGAACTGGGACATAATACAACACAATACATACAAGGCCTCTAGCAGAGCAAGTGACAGAGAAAAACAAAGCCAGCCAGAGATATGTGTGTGTGTGTGTATGTGTGTATATATATATATAACAGAGAGACATGGATTGACAATGTGTGGTTCACTACTGTCCATGTGCATCTCAATCTCACAACCATCTGACAATCTTCTTGTTATTATTTTGCACTACTGTCACTGATTGTACATGGTTTGATTCATAGCCTATGAGGTTGTACTCTTTAGTTTTATCCTAATCACTTTGACTTAGTTTTCTTATTCTTTTTAGTCTATTTTTACTCTACTTTTATTCTATTTTAGATTCCTAAATGGTATGGCATTCAATACTAGGTGAGAGAAAAACAGTATTTCGATTCTCTGTATGTCCTGCACATATAAAAAGCTCTGATCTTCTCTGTGACAGACACAGGGAGATGAGATGGACCGCTTTATTTTACTCTGATTGTAAATGTCAGACATGACATGTGTGACAGAAACATTACCGTGCCAGAACAGTATGAAATGATAGAGGAAATATCTCAAGAGGGGCTGAACAAGGGACTTAAAACTAAAACATATCCAATTAAGAAACAATAAAAGCTATCAAAACAATTTTTCCGAACACTTATAAGTCCAGGACTGTTGTATAATTGAGAGATAAAATGAATGATGCAAGTGGCACCATGGCAATGGAACTAATAATGAAAGGGGAGGAGCATGAACAGAAAACAGTCAAAATCACAACATAAAATGTAATTGGCTGTCATTCTAAAACTTGACATCAAATCAAAAAACTACTTTACACCAAACAAAGTGGGGAGTGTCACTGTGTTTTTGACAGACCCTTCCACATGAAACAGTGGCAAAAATATCCAGCTTTAAATTTAGGTAGGCATTGACGTTCACTGTAGCGCCACCTATTGGTGCATGGATTTCAGCACACTCATTTAGGACCCTTATATTTCAACCAAACTTGGGACACCTAGCAATCTACTGATCTGTTTTAGCTTATCGAACTTTTAAAGGCAGCAGGAAGTGAGACTTTGATTTTGGATGGTCCCAGTGGCAAAAACCTTCAGAAACGTGCACAGAATGCAGAGGAAAAAAAGCAGTTTTTTCCAGGCATCATGGGCCACGAGTTATTAATGAAAATGTAAAAACGCCTATAAATGACCACCAGGTGGAATAATACATGTCCTGTTTTTGTAGTCAGTGTGTCATGTCACAAGAAGACATACCAAGTTTGATGTTATCATCTATAATAGTTTCTGAGATAAAAAAAAAAAAAAAAAAACTTGGAAAAAAGTCATTTTCCATTCATTTCTATAGGAAAAAAATTGCTTGTTTTTTGCAATTTGTATGAAAACCATAGATCACATCTTCACCAAAAGTCATAGCACACTATTCCCGATTGGAAGACAACAAACTTGAATTTGGTGCACACAACTCAAAAACTTTGGGAGGGGTATTGGGGCGAAATTTTAGCATAAGAAATATAAAACGGAAAAATAATAAGAAGGCGGCTACAGGATTGCAAGAGGTGTGCTATACTCCTTCAGAGCTTGTACCCCTAATAAATAAAGATGATCTAGAAATCCCTCATGTGCTCAAATTCTTTTTACTCTGTGGATTTATTGTCCTGCTCTGACTTGGCACTCTGTTGAATGTAGGAGCATGCAGCCATGCACAGGTTGACTATTTACAGATTTAGCTGAGAAAATACAAATTATACCATCATATCAAAGCAGTGGACTTGCAGTCGTGATGACATTAAGGATTTAAATGTAATTCATCAGCCACTATTTTGCCATTCATCCCACTGCATTTTTGCAGAGTTGCTTTACATACAAATGAAATCATTACATTACTCCCAGCCCTCCAGCAGACTCTCACTCCGGGTGAAAAACTGACATCTCTCTTTGGACATGTGCGTTAGAGGCCAACCAGATGATCATGGTTTCCACTGTAAATTATCTGGTCAATAACCACAGGAGCACGCACTTGTCTTGAATGGTTGAATTCATCTTTTTTTTTTTATCCACCACTCAGGTGGGGTTTGAAAAACAAAAATATTCAGATTACCCATGTGATCTTGGATGTGTTTAGCAGCGTACGAAGAATAAAGTAAACACCTGTGTATGTCCTCACGGCTCTCCCGTTCTCTCTGAAAATCTCGTGCATCAATGATCTCCTCAGGGGCGTCGCTGTACTGCTGCCTCAGCTCCTGGATCACAGAGCTCCTCAGAGCTGCTTGTCGCTGGTGCTCCACCTGAGCATTTCTCCTGTCTGCCTCCATCAGGTCCCCATCTACAGGGCACAAAACAAACCCTTCTTGTAAACAAGAAGAAATGGATCTTTGACTGCATGGCTAAATCAGATTACTCAAAGGAAACCTTATTTATTAATAAAAATGAAGATTTGACAAATATTTTTATGCCAAGCATTAGTAAAAAGGAATCCCAACCTTACCATAATGCACTGGAGCAATCTTTGGAGGTACATATTTCTTGCCAGGAGCGTGGGGGGCTTTCCTCTCTGAGCTGGCCTTTCTCTTAGCTTCATCTTCAGATTCCTCAGACTCATTCAGCTGGTGATTGATAAGCATCCCAAAATGTTCTGACAAACTCTGCACAAACTCTATTTTTGTTTAATTGATAAAGTCACTGGTAGCCTGACTGATATGTCTTTGAACAATTATCATGCAAGGGAAACAAACATGATTTTTTTTTTTTCTAGATTAAGAGTTTTTCCACTACAGCGACTTACTTTGTTGATGAGATTATCAGGATTGGGACGTAGCTGCAGCAAGTCATTTTCAGCTAAATAGACACAGGCATAAGAGATTGTGGTTAAGAGGACTGCACGCACATCCCTCTCCTTGGTGAGCAAGAGCCAACCAGCTGATCTGACTGGTTAAACTGGATTATGTCTCCAGATGGCTGAATGGATCTGTTGAATCTGTCTTTATGCCTGTGTATGTGATTCCAGTATGTAGTTCGGTTAATGTGTAGTTATGCTCTTTATCTTGTACTTTCGCTGTTCATTTAGGAGAGGGGGTGTGTCCAGTGTTTTCATGTGCAACATGCTGCTCAGATGACAGTCAGTGGGGCATTCACTCACCCACAACCCGACACACAGTAGTTCTCAGAAATAGGCAAAAGATACTTAAAAAAAAACAGGAGCGCTAATGAGGGTGAAGCAGCCCAGACTTTACTCCAAACTAAAGCGGACATCACCACTGCGCCTTCCACAGAGCTATTAATACAATGGCCAACTTGTATATATACACACACTTTGGGTGCACCAAAGCAATGACCAATAGAAACATACTTTCCACTACAGCATTTTGCTGTTTGGTGTCTCTATTGATTATTGGTTTTTATTATGATAGTCTCTTTACAGTTGATATTTCAAAATGACTAGTCCTTTCTTAGGTCTCTCTACTCTAAATAATATTTTTCATTAAGTTTGCAGGGTTGAAGACTTTAAGAATCCTATTTGCACATTTCAGGGTGCTCCCGGGGTGTATATAACCAAGCAGACCATTTGTTGTATTAGAAGCTGTGAGGAAGGTGCATTAATGCCAAAAAGCTTTAGTTTGGAATAAAGTCTGTGCTGTTTTACCATCATTAGTGCTCCTGTTTTTGCTTGCCTATTTCTGTGAATTTATGCATGTCTTTGGCAGCTGAACTCCTGCTCCTTTCTTCCACCTGATTCACTGCAGAGATGACAAACTCTGCGGCCAGTGATATTTATTCAGCCATCTCAAACATCAAATGTGTTATGTGAAGAAGCTTGTGAAACATGAATGGTAGGAAACTATGTACACAAATAGAATAAAATGTTTTGACTGATCACAGACAGCACCACATAAGTCTTACCTAAACTGCCAGTAACAGCTGTGCGCACCAGCTTATCAATCTGGTACTTCATTTTGTGGTCTAGGGGTCGCATCTTATCCAAGACCTTTAAAAAAAATAAAGGGGCCAAAATTATGAAATAGTGTGTCAGCTAGACAGATGAGAAACAAAAACAAAAAAAAAACACTAATATTCCAAAATCTCACTGTTCGGACTGTGACCACTCTGTTCAAAGCTTCACTGTTTTTTATTTTGCCCCCTTCGGTCTTGATGTTGATGAGGTGAGTGAGGTCCTGAAGGTAGAAGAGCAGCAGGTGATACCGAAGATCCAAGAAAGATAAACCCTGCAGACAGACAGACAGACATTTCAGCTTAATGTGTCAGTTGTAACATTAAGCTCCTTTTACATGCAACACCTTTATTCATTTTAAGGTGAGTTACACATCCCTTTAGAGAGCAGAGTTTCAAGTAATCCATTTTCCAGTAATAGTCCCAACTCAACCTTGCATGAAAACAATTTTTAGAAAAGTAGACTGCTTCTATTACAGAGAGATGAGAGGAAAGTGCTATCACATAGTACCGCAGGGCACCTGTGGCTCAGGAGGTAGAGTGGGTCGTCTCCTACCCGGAAAATTACCGATTCGATTCCCGGCTTGTCCACTCCACTCCATTGCTCCCAGTGATGACACCGGTGTGTGTGTGAAGGGGTGAATGGCCAAATAGTGTGAAAGGATTCTGAGTGTGCTGCAATGCATAGAAAAGCCCTGTACAAATATAAACCCATTTACTGTATAATCAAATTAACCAAATGAGCAAGAGACATGTAGTGAACCTAGAGACTTTAACCTGCTTGACCCAGTTGCAAGTCCATAATAACATACCTGATGTTCCATAGGCTTTATATAAAAGATGTGACACCACTTCCCTCCATTATACAAGACTGAAGCCAATATACAGCATCGTCATTACAGTGGCTGTCATCTTGGTATTTTGCAACCAGATTTTGCAGAGTAGCAACCAAGTAACTGAGTGACAGCATCAGACCACCACTGAACATTGTTCACGGTTCTGTGCTGGAAACAAATTCCTTGTGTGTGACATACTTGGCTAAATAAAGGTGATTATCCTGATTATCCCAAAAAACAAACAAAAACACAACCATACCAGAGAAATTACTACTTGTACTCACATTAATGTGATGTCTACCAAAAACCACAGAATCATCTCTGGCAAAATGTATTTCATTTGTACTTTGAAGTTTTTGTTTTTGCTCATGTCCCATCCACAAACATGGAGGAGGCAGGATTTATGACCTATACTGCAACCGGGCACCAGGGGTTGATGGACCCACGGTGGCTTTATTTCTGGAAGCTGCCAGGGTGTCCATCTTTTATACAGTCAATAGGAGTTTTTCCATTATATGAACCTACAGAAATGTGTCGAGTCAAGTAACAGTCATAAGTTCTGTGTTTCCACTTTGGTGTGCATTCTTTGGAGGTGCGTTCTGGAAGCTACATTTTGGCACCCCTTAGGAGGAGTTAAATAAAGTACCAGGTAGGCAAAGATGGAGGGAGTATGTCAAGGTCAAAGTGTTTATTTGTCATATGCACAGTTAGGAAATGCGTGGTTAGTCAGAAAGTCCAGGAGTGTGGACAGTTTCTGGGTAAGCTTGTGGGGGATAACTGTGTTGAAGGCGGAGCTGTAGTCAGAATCAGAATCAGCTTTATTGGCCAGGTAAATGGTAAATGGTCTTATACTTGTATAGCGCCTTTCTATGCTTTTTACAGCACACTCAAAGCACTTTCACATTATTCGGCCATTCACCCATCCGCACTCCCAAGCACTCACGCATTCACACACCAGTGACATCACCAGGAACAACTGGGGGTTCAGTG